CCCCCCCCCCCCCCCCCCATGGGCTGTCCTTCTCAGGCAGTCCTGTCCCAACCTTTCCGCCCGTCCCCTGCCCATGCGCACTGCATCTCAAGGTACATGTGCAGTCTTCATGCCCATAGTACTCTTGGTGCGGCTCAACAAGAAGCGAATTCCATATTCTGCTGTTGTGTGCTAACACCCGTCCAACTTCAATTTTGTTGCTGTTCAGATAATATAGTTGGCTGTTCTTCTTGATCACCTGTCCAAAACAAAGTTGATTGGTGCTATGGGTCAGAACCCATCCAAACTCAAATTTCTCCCACCGCACATCCGAATTCATTCCTTCGTGGGGCTTGCCAATATCAATTCAGTATGATTGTGGGTCGTTACCTGTCCATGCTCAAGTTATTGTCGTTGCAGAACAATTGCCATCCAAATTATTTCATTCTTGCGGGCCAAGATCATCCCGATCTAGTTTTGCTGTTATCGGTCAATATCCATCCCAGTTCATGTTTGTTAGTGCAGCGCAGTACAGATTTAGATTAACTTTGATGGTACTGTGAGTTCATGAACATCCGAATTAAATTTGACGTTTCTGTGCTTCAAAAAACGATCAATGTTTTCAATATCGATCCCAAATTCATGTTTTCGCTCTTGTGAGTCAATACCACCAATTTGAACTTCTTAGTATCGCAAGCCCATACCTTCCACTACTATCATAGATCGAATCCATTCAATTTCAATTTGTTGGTGGCTGTGAATAATCCCCATGTAATGTCTTCCTATCATGGGCCAATACCTATCCAAACTGAATTTGGCAATGCGATACTATTGATATGGCTCAACCCTCATACAAATTCATTTTGTTGTAGTGCTGGGCACATATCCATCTAAACTCAAACTGTTACTGTTGTCGGTCAATGCCCGTCCAAATTCAGTCTAATTCACACCCAACTTGCAATCATGGTTGTTGGGTGCTTATATCCACCAAAATCAAGTTTGCAGAGTTTGAGGAACTGTTAGAGTCCTTTAGCGAGTCTTAGAGAGTGTAATCGTGTCACGTCTTGGTATCATGTTTTCGGTCCTATGTCTACAGGAGTTGTGTAAGTCTACAGGATAAAGCACGTTTCTGCATTCGGGCCCGCGACCCCTCTTCGGTTTGTTGTTGTGGGTCAGTACCTACATAAACTCGTTTAGAGGTCGATAGAGGTCAGCATCCATCCGCATTGGATTTGCTATTATTGCTGTCGGCCATAACCCACCCAAATGAATGTTGCTGTTGTCGTTCAATGCCCATCTAAATTGCCTTTCGATGCTGGATATCAATATGTATGCAATTTCATTTGTTGATACTGTGGGTGGATACCTATTAAATCAAATTTACTGATGTTGGTGTGGGTCAGAAACCATTCAAGATTGATGTGGGGCCAATACACATGCAAATACAACTTGGTTGTTGCGGATACCCGTCCGCATGCAAGTTGTCGTTCATACGGGTTAATATTCATCCGAAGTCAACTTTTCATTTCCCTGGGCCGACACTGATCCAAATTCAGTCTTGTCTATCCAAAATCAACCATTTGAGCATGTGAATGCTGCGAGTCCACACCCAGTCAGATTATAGCTGTTGTTGATGTTAGTATGGGTCGATACCCCACCCGAATGCAGTATGTTATCATGGGCCAATACCCATCTACATTCAGTTTGCTGTTGTTGTGGGTCAATGCCTATCTAAACTTAGGTTGTTTTTGTCGCTGTTCGAGACCTGTGAAAGACTCAGTTTCTTGTTATGGGCCAATACCCATCCTGTTGTTCTTTGGCTCACGCTCTATCCAAACTAAACTAACTTTTTAGCTGTGGGTCAGAACCAATCCAAACTCCGTCTTCTATTCCGTGGATGAATACGCATCCCAATACAAGTTGCTCGTATTGTGGATCAATGCCCATCCGAATTCATTTCTTTGGTAGGGCATGCCAATATCAATTCAATATTATGGTGGGTCGTGACCTATCCATGCTCGAGTTGTTGTTGCTGTTGCAGAACAACTGCCATCCAAATTCATTCGTTGTTGCAGGCCAATACCATCCAACACTCGATTTTGCTATGGATCAATGTCCATCCAAATTCATTGTTATTGATGTGGCGTGATATAGATCTAGATTCACTTTAAAATAATGTGAGCCCATACCCATCGGAACACAATTTGATGTCGCTGCAAGGCAAAAAACAGCAATGCTTTTTAGTTAGTTAGTCACTAGTTTATATCATATTTAATCTTATGGGTCAGTATTAGTCAGTATCTATCCAATTTGAATTTGTTGTTGGTGGCGATGAATACTCATCCCCATAAAATGCATTCCTATCATGGGTCATTGAACACAAGATTTGCTGAAACCAGGGCCGAATGCAGTTAACAGGCCTCGGAAAACGCATGTGGGTTTGTGCAAAGCTCCGAGAGCTCAACCTGAGCAGCGTATGGGTTGTTGTTAAATCAGAACAGCTTAAAGCACGGTCCGGCCTGGGGGCAGCATTGAACGGCAGTTTTGCCGAAACTATGGCCGAAAGCGTTTAGCAGGCCCTGGACAATACATTTGGGTTTGGTTCCTCCGAGACCTGATTCGAGCAGTTTCTGGAAGGCTTTATTTTCGGGTATAAGGACAGCAAACAGCTCCAGATTTGTTGCAACGAAGAAGCCAAATGCGTTTAGCAGGCTTTGGACAATGTGTTTGGGCTTGGTCGGTGGCTTGTGGCTCGATGTGGGTTCGGAGATCCGAGCCCTGAAAAAGCATGTTGGAGCCCTGGAAGCCAAACTACAGCAGTTGCCACACGATTTTCCTGGTGTAGGGACGGCATTGAGCTCCAGATTTGTTGAAACAAAGCCCAAATGCGTTTTGCGGGCCTCGGAAAGTGCATTTGGGCCTGGTCGGTGCCTTCGGGGTCTTAATTAAAGCCTCGGGAGTGTGGCCAGGGGCATCAGCAAAGCGGAAACAGTTCTGAATGCGTTTTCCAGGCCTTGAAAAATGCCTGTTGGAGCCCTGGAAACAAAACCAAAGCACTTTCGGTGCGAACTTCGTGGTGTAGGGACAGTATTCAGCTCCAGATTTGTTGCAACGAAGGCCAAACGCGTTCAGCAGGCCTTGGAAAATGCATTTGAGCTTGGCCGGTGGCTTCGAGAGCTCAATTACAGCCTCGGGAGTAGGGACGGCATTGAGCTCCAGAAACGACAAAGCCAAATGCGTTTAGCAGGCCTTGGAAATGCATTTAAGCTTAGTCGAAGGCTTCGGAAGCTCGATTTGGGTTGGGGAACTCGGGTCAGGAATACAAGCAAAGCTGACACAGCTTTAAATGCTTTTTCCAAGTAGGCTTGCTGTACAGTAACCCTTTC